CCTCGAAAACACAACCGAGAATTTTTTTTATCCTTTCCTTTTCTCAGGCAATATAGGATAGACCAAGTAGACCAAGGGTTTGTGGGAGTTGAAATCAAGCTGGAGATCACCAAATTGAGAAAGGTTGCTGTAATCGAATATGAACTGCTTAAGATGCAGAGTTTTTAAAAATTCTGAAGCCATGGAAAAAAAAAATTTTTTATCCCTTTTCCCCCAGGGGAAAAAAAAAACGAAACAAAAAAAAATTGGAAATCTTTTTCTTACCACCCTTACTGTGATCTAAGTTCACCTTGCTGTTTTCAGAACTTAAAATACCATCTATAACTTGGTTTACCTACACAGTCATCACTTTGATACTTGTATTAAAATCCAAGTGTTCAGACAATCATGTTTACTAACTGAACAATTTAAAATGTTTTTAAATCTTCCTTTTGGCACACCTTTGGGTTCTTTTCATTCCTCATCCAGAGCAGATAGTCTGGCTTCTAGATAAAAAGTAAGTCATAGACTTCGGCGAGGCAGAAATGCTTCTTGCCTGTGCATTAGAGAACGGCATTTCACCGCTTGGCTTCAGCGTATTGGAATTCTGGTGCTCTGAGGTGCAGAATGAAGATGATTTATGAAGATTTATGCCACCTCGGTCATGGTGGATTCTAAGCAGTTCACAGTTTAATAATATACAGAATAAAAGTCAACTTTTTTTTTCAACGAATAGATAAAAGTCTTCGTATTACAGGTTAGTAGAAAACGTTTGGGAGCAAGAAAGTATAGCAATATAGGACTGTCTTCTTTTATTGCATTTTGTCTTACATATTTCATTGTAGTTTTTGTAGTGTCGTTGGTCTTTCCAAGAGTGTTCATTGTTTCCAGTTTTTTCAGAGAAAAAGGTTCTGGGGACCCCGATGTTTTCTTTTAATTTTTCTGTTTTTTTCGATTTCGCTTTCCATCCATTGTTCACTAGGATGGCTCTTTTGTCTAGAAATTAGTAGCCTAGCACAAGGTGGCCCAGTAATGTTCTCCTATAGCATCCGAGCCTTCTTAATTGGACATAAGCTTTCCTAGGTTCAGAGGAAATATACCTCTAGGATTGAGGGAAGCTGGACAGAGCTGACATCTTCGTGCCTTGTTCCCAAGCTTCTTCTCAAGCTTCTCCTCTTCTTTATCATTTTTGGATTAAAGAATTGACAGTACAAAACTTACATGGGGAGTAGCTGATTTCCAGGCATGTATGAGAAGGGTTCTGAATATTCAGTGGAAGTGAATATTCAGTCCTCTGGCAGAGCTCCTCCTGCAGCAGAGCTCGGTGGATTGAAGAGGAGAATTTCATTCGATCTCCCTCGAATTAAAGGGGACAAAATCGCTGCTCGTAAAATGGTTGTCAGCCTGTTGTCTTCTGATTCCACATCCTTGCATTTAAAATATTGGTACAAGGGAACGGTCCTCTTTTGCGAACTGTTTCCCATGGGCAGATTCCCCTTTTGAGCGTTCAGAGAAGCTGTTCTTTGTTACTAAGACTTGAAGAAATGGTAACAGTTCAGAAGCTTGTTTTGAGTTTCAAACCTGGTTGGTCCGATGGGAGGCGTTTTTCATCTGCTTTCTGTTTCTTGCTCTGTGAAATTGATGTGGCTGCAAAAGGTTACTATGCCTGTTGATAGATGTTTAGCTGTAGGCCAGGCTGATAATATAAGCTGAGATGTTTTACTTTTTGCCATCCTGTGGTAATAATTTGAACTGTTGGCTGGAACGCTCAGGTGCCTAGATTTATACTATCACTACATTTAAGCTTTTTTGTTTTTTAGCCAAGGGTTTCCAGGTGATTGCATGGCTGCTTTTAAGGTGTTACAGATGGAGGTTTTGCTCACTGCTCTTGCACACACCAGAGCACTTTTGGGAATCAAGCTGAAGCCCTGCATAGCTGTACTTACTGACTTGCCATATTAAGGGAACCCTTCCCATTTTTTTCTTGTCAGCTGCGGATATTGCAGTGGCACCCCTGTGCATTTTAGAAAATATAGGAGCTGCCCTAAAGATCAATAAAATGTCCATGTTGTGCTGGCATTTGTCCCCATGAGTGCTTCCTGTGAACTCTGAGCACTCTAGAGCAGTGTTTCTCAACCTCAACAGCTTTAAGACATGTGGACTTCAACTCCCAGAATTCCCAGCCAGCATGTTGAAGTCCGCACATCTTAAAGTTGCTGGGGTTGAGAAACACTGCTCTAGGACATTTGAACATTTCAGGGGGGAAAAAAAACTTTGTAATGGTGTGCAGTTTTTTTTTTTCCTTTTAAGAGAAGCTGATTTGCCTTTACTTTTCTTCATATCAGTATCCCTTAATAAGCTTTGGAGGAAACCCAGAGTTTACCCAGAACTTGAAACTCATGGTTGAAACAAGGGTGGAAACGTCAGGAGTTGCCTGCAGCCTTTAGAAGCTGCCTCAGCAGTCTGATGCATCAAGTGCATTGTCCCCTCTGAATGGTTCCAGGCAATCTGTTGGGAGAACCATTTACCAGAGGAGACCACCTTGACTGGGAAGAAATGGAAAGCCTTGTGTATGCTAGCAGGTCCGCTCTTAAAGGCCTAACCTGGAGCATGATGAGACCCTGCCCCCAAAGATAAATTTCCCTAATGTGGAAATATTTTAACTCCACTATTTATTGCTAACCTCTAGACCAGTGTTCCTCAACCTCAGCAAGTATAGGATGTGTGGGCTTCAACTCCCACAATTCCCCCAGCCAGAGTGTTGGCTGGGGAATTCTGGGAGTTGAAGTCCACACATCTTAAAGTTGCTGAGGCTGAGAAACACTGCTCTAGACATATCTTCAAGCAGACACTTAAAGATATTGCAAGCTTCAGTTTTCTAGTGTTAACACTGTCCAGCTCCAAACTGGGAACTTGGCCAATATAAGCACTGCCAGTGGCCCTTTCCTTTAATGCCAACGCAATGCTTTATTCACAGAGATCAAAGGGACAGTGTCAAGAACGTAATTTCTTCTCTCCTAAATGATTGTCTATTGCCTACACACCAATTTGTGTAACAAATGGCATTGGAATTTTCCACATGTTATGGCTCCATTATTTCAGATTTATACTGCCTGAGTAGCACAGCTGTATAAGTAGTGCATTATTTGAAATGCTATTGGCATTCATTAGATTTCATTTCTATTTCAAGTGCTCATGCATCTGCTGTGAGGTACTTTGTGTTTTGTTGCTAAAGGGCAAGCAATATCAGATGCTTTTGAAATACAAGCTCCACCGTAATGGAAGGCATCTTAATTTTCTGGCAGAGCTGGCTTTTGTTATTAGAAAGTGCTTAATTTTAATTTACTCTTTGTTCTAGGAGGTTAGTGTGTTGTTCCCCTTTCTTGATCTTACAGTTCTTATGGAAGGGAGATTCAGTGGAAGACGGTTAAGGATCTGAGTTTGTTTTCCAGGATTCGGTTCCCAAACTTCCATGTTCTGGATGGTGGAATGGTGTATATTGAATATAAACTTCTAATGTGGATTGATGTTGAAGAGGTGCACTATATCATATTTCAAAAATGTGATTTTAGTGAATTTTCCATAGTTATTTTCCAGGCTGATTCTAGAATTAACTATTTCAACATATACATTCTTGGGTTGAAACATGCAAATGGATGTGTTCAAAGAGAACCCTAGCTTTCAGACTCCATCCACAGACTTCCCATTGCATGACTCATGCTTGTTAACTAGCCAGCCTTTTATTACTTGCTTCCATTGGAATATAGTATGGTGGATTATCTTTTGCCTTCCATCAGAGTGTGGAAGTATAGAAGATATGAGTTGGAAGGGATGGTTCACATCAGCTAGTCCAACCCCTTGCTCATTGTAGAAGTCCACTAAACCTTCCTGGACATGAGGCCATCCAGGCCCCTTTTGAAACCCTCCTTCAGTGGGAAATCCACCACTGATCTAGGCTGTTGAGGAATGTATTGATTCAGGGTAATCTACTGAGGGCCAAATCATGGGTGAGATGGGTTGGAGCAGAGCCAAATGGTGTAGCGACACTTATTTGTTCTTTGCCTTCTTTTTTCCTTCTGACATACTTTTCTCTTTCTCCCAGTCTTCAGGGAAGGGACAGATAGCTCTTTCAAAAGGTTGGGATGATTTCTTGCATAAAAGTTTTGAAAATAAGCTGGCCCCTGTTGGCACAGGTCAACCATGAACAAAATTTGGCTAAAGGTCATTGAGATTCTCTTGTGTGAAGGGCCTACTGGATTTGGAACCTTATTCCCAGAATGAGAAAATGCAATAGAAAAGGATATAAAGACAACAAATCTTACCATTCTGGTAATTACATACGCAAACAGCTACCGCTTTGTCCTGCATTCTTGAATGGGCTGGAGCTGTTAAGTTGCCTAGAAGGAATCATGACAGAGAACACCGAGGCAAGACGGGTCATCTGTGGTCAGTAGGAATCCATATTTCAGGATGAGGTAACTTCTTTGTCCTCCTTTCTTCAGTTCCACTCCTGTCCTGGGGTCCCAGCTTCAATTTTAGCATCTGGTATGTTGAACTCAACGGCATTGATGATCCAGATGTGGTTCAGCCCTGTCTCAATTGGTATAGCAAGGTAGGCCTGTGTATGAAACGGCTCCAGATATGTGGATGTTGAGTATGAGAGAGAGAGCGAGTGAGCGTGTGCACTTTTGCTTGTTGTGTAAGTTACAAAACTGAGTTCAAACCCCCACCTGCCTCTGAATATATTAAGGTTATATGTGGGTCCCTAACGTGGAGCCCATTGGCCATAGCATGTCTACTGACTTTGGATGGTGCCAAGCTGCCTTCTCTATCTATACTTTTTTTTTCTTGCTAAATTTTAAAATTTTAAATATTGAGAAAGTAGCATGCTGTAAGGCACTGTGGGTCCCATGTAACCCTAGAGGCCTTCCTAGAAAATCATGTAGTGAATGGCTGCAGCCCACCACTTCTGGTATATGGGTGTTTTGTCATTGGCCATATCCACCATGGCAAGCAATTTATGAAAACACTGCTAACATGCTCTTAAAATTCTAAGTATGACCACTGGCTGGAAGAGGTTGAACACTGCTATACTTAACAAACAGTAAGAAGCCACTATTATTAGCAAATACTGAGTAATAGACGTTTCCTGACTGGTAATTTTGAAACCATGGTTTTGACTGATGTGATTTAAGTTCAGTCTGTGCTGGAAAGAAAAGCATGTTGTTTGGATTTGATTGGGATTGGAAGAACTCTGAATTTGGCGGGGTGGGGTATGAATTTGTTTTGAAAAATACACTGCTGTTTACTGGTGTAGGTTTCCTTGGCCAGCATCTGTTGGGCAATGTTGAGCTTCAGGGTTTAGTGACCATGGTCTAGACAACAGATTTCCTGACATTTTGCTGGCAACCGTGGCTGGCATCTTCAGAGGCAAGATGGTCTGCTACGCACTATGAACCAACACCACGAAAACAACCAATCAGGATTTGGCGCAGACAAAGAGACCAGTCCTCACCAACCTGTACCAGTCGGAAGCCAGCTCAGCCAAAGACCAATGGAAATTAGGTCACCTGGCTATAAAGACAGGAGCCCAGCCAGCCTCTGCTCAGTTGCCCGTGGTTTGTGTAGCAGACCACCTTTCCTGTGAAGATGCGAAGCACAGTTGCTGGCGAAATGTCAGGAAATCTGTTGTCTAGACCAAGGCCATTAAACCCTGAAACTCAACACTGCCCAACACGGCTGTTTATTGAAAGTACATATTTCAAAATCGAAGTGCATACATGTTCATAAGATAAAAAAGCAGAAGGAGTCTTGTAGCACCTTTTCCAACTAACAGATTTTATTCAAAGGCATAAGCTTTTGTGAGCTGCAGCAAAAGCTTGTATCTTTGAATCAAATTTGTTGATGAGAAAAGGTGTTACCGCACTCCTTCTGCCCCTCCTTTTTTTTTTTTTGGCCACCATTGACTTACATGGCTCTCCTCCTACAAAGTTTGTAGGAAAGTTACCTTCTTTGATATTATAAGCTTGTTGACCAAATGTTTATTTTTTGAATAAAAAGAAAAATGGAGTGCATGATACTATGGAAAAACTACTCCCTACGGTCTTGGAAAGCTATTACCAGTCTAACTAGCTGAATATATCTTAATCTTACGTAAGACAGTTTTGAAACATTTCTGTAGATGATTGGCACAAAGTGTTTAAAGCAAGAGCAGTTTAACAATATTTGAGTTCTAGGACTTGTCTGTTACTTTGGGATTAAAAAGTATGGACTGGAAGTAGCATGGGACCTTTTGATTTTTCCAGATAAAAAATTGCTAACAAGAACTCTTGGATTCAAAGGATGTTAATGATACCTCAAAAGACTCATGAGGATAGCTCTGTAAACCCATATATTACTCTGTTAGCACCTCCTCCCAGGGTCTTTGATTTCCCTGTGATCTAAGCTTAGGTCCACAAGGATATCAGCAAGAAGATCTTCAGTGCTGTTCTCATAGGTTTTCTTGTGTTCCAGTAGTACCGTGAACAGGAAGCTATTCGCCTCTGTTTAAAGCACTTTCGCCAGCACAACTACACAGAAGCATTTGAGTCCCTGCAGAAGAAAACCAAGATTGCTCTGGAACATCCCATGTTGACGGATCTTCACGAGAAGTTGGTCTTGAAGGGAGACTTCAACGCTTGTGAAGAGTTGATAGAAAAAGCTGTGAATGGTAAGTACAGCAAGCGTTAGGGGATGGGAGGAAGGCAGGAGGTATTTCTGATGGTCTAGTTAGGGAGCTGGTGAATTAATGGGTATTTGGGCTCTTGCTATGTTGGGAATGTACTATCCTGTGGAGGGAATTCTGGAAATTGCAGTCCAAGTGGATCTGGAGGGTGATCTGTTGGGGAAGACTGCTGTGGAGGACTTCTTGGAGTTTGTTGACATTTTGGCTTGTGCTTACTTGCCTGTGATCTAGAATTTGTGTTGTGTACTGTTGGCTTCATTCTGACTCTTGGCTTTGCCATTTTTCTGCACTGTGGGTGGCTGACAACTCAAAACCAAACAGAGTAGAAACCTTTCTGTTTATTTTTTATTAGCCTCTCATGTTGCTATAGGGCCGTTCTGTATGATCCTAGGACCTGGCTGCGTTATCATTTTCGTCACATGAAAAATAGTCATGTATATAGTGTATAGGCAGAGTGGTACTAGATGGATAGGATAGCCAGAGGCTATGGGTTTCCCTTTATGACTTCCTATAAACACCTCTAGTTTTGTCTGTCTATTCCTAAGAGATCTGCCACAATTCTTAATAATCAGATGACTTTTGATGTTACGGCTGCAGTGGATAGCTTCTAAAGTTGTGTTCGGTGGGGTTGCTAAGTGATAAAAACAATGGGAAGCGACCCACAGAGTTAAGAGTGGTTTGTTTTCAGGGAATAGCTCTTTCCAAATACAGTTGCTGTGAGACATTTAGCAGTTTTCCTCTAGGATGAATGACTCTGGGAGAAGGTTGGGGCCAGTTCTTGCTCCAAAAACTAGGACAAGCTCCTTGAATTCATGGTGATGGAACATAAGCATTCTTGCACCTCCACATAATGTACTGTACAGGCTCTGTGGGTGTGCATTTTGTATCATTGTTCCCCCTCTAGGTGTGGGCAAGACAGAAGAAGCACATATGTTGTATGCTTAATAAGTTACACCCAGTTTAGGTTAAATTGGATACATTTAACCATAAACCTGGTTTGCTATGTTCACGTAACATGCTGCCATCAAGTAGATAAACTGCATTATGACTTAATGGGACAATCTGATTTTCACACCATGCAAAGACAGTGGCCAGACTCTCAGAACATTTGAAATCACAAAATGCCCTTCCTTATTTTAGCTTAGCTTACCGTGTCGCATAAACCTGGCTGGTAGATGTGACAAGGGTATGCAAGGTTTCACAATCCCCATCCTAAACATTTTTCATTCCCTCTCAAGAATGAAATTCATAGCTATTTATTTATTGTTATTTATTTATTTATTGTTATTTTTATAGTTTGCCATTATGGGAATCAGCACCCAGTACCTTACAAACAATTAAAACTAGCACCCAATAAAATATAAAAATAAATACAGCCATCAAATAAATGTTAAAAGAACAACTCTGGTGCCGATCCCAGTTAATATCAGCAAAAAGATGGTCTTAAAGGCCCTCTGAAGGAGCTCCATCTTCAAAGCTTACGGAAAGTTTGGATGATAGGTGTTGATTGGAGGGCTATTCCCACCTTCAGAAATCATGGTTAGATACCGTTCCATGTTGTGGTTTGATGAGTGGTCATCTAGGGGTAGTCCCAACTCTGAGGCATCTTTTCAAAAAGATATGCCTGGCACTGGCCTGATAGTTTTTTAGATGCCAGGCAAATAGGTTTTTAAACATATTATAAGCTAATTTTCACTGTATCTGCTGCACTGAAACTTTTTTTTAACTACACTGGTTGCTATCTATCTATCTATCTATCTATCTATCTATCTATCTATCTATCTATCTATCTATCTATCAAAAATTTGTTGGTGGAAAATAACAAATGGACAGAAGAGTAATACAAGAGTTATAGTATAATAAAAATATAAAAAGAAAATGATCCATATAATACTAATAATTAAACTAGTTTAATTATTTAAGATATTAAATCTAGTCCATATATACATTCAGTCTGCACCCTAATTAGCATGCTTTTATTGGATCTTTTTAATTATCACTCAACATTTTTGTCTTGTGATATTAAGCTTTCCTGGAAAAACTGGGTTTTAAAAAGTGAGATGCACATTTCTAACATAAATAATAAAATAAAAGGAAGCATCAGCTGGTTCATAATGTTGATAATATATGTTCATAATACGTGTGGCATCAAGATGTCGACTCTTAGCCACTGCATAGGTCGATCTTCTCCAGGGTGATCAGTCCCCACCCAGGTCTTTCAGATCACCAAATGGTATACCCATTGCTGCTATAATCATTTACTTTGCTGCTGGTTGTTCTTTTCTCTTCTTTCCTTCCACTTTTCTCAGCATTATGGACTTCTCAACAGAGCTGGATCTTTGCATAATGTGTCCAAAATATGATAATTTGAGGATTGATTTGCTTGCATAATGTATTATCTCTCTAAAGCAGGGGTCAGCAACCTATGGGCCCTGGGCCAGATGTGGTCTGCCACCAGAAATCATCTAGCCCATAGTCCCTGAAAGAAATATGTCCACCTGGCCTGCCAGAGAGAGGGATAGAGCAGCTGTCTGTTCAGATGCTTTTATGAGCGCTTGCCACCTCCTTGGGCAGCCGTTTTTGTGATGGCTTTACGAGTCCCCCATCTGGCACTGGTGAGAGCGAGCCATGAGGTGGAGAAGGAGGAGGAAGTGGTGGCAGCATGGCCTCTGGCCCCTACGCAGAAGGTTGCTGACCTCTGCTCTAAAGAGACAGGCGATACAATCTGTCCTTCGTATTTCACTTTTCAACCCAGTGAACCAGAATGCTGTATCCCTATACCTAAAATGCTCCTGAGCGAAATAAATTCACTTCTGTGCTCCTGGAGATATTACTGTCCTGTCCACCAGTGACCTCTTGCCGGCTATGATCCAACAGAGTTAAGCAGGGTCAGACTTTATGGGCTTCTGCTAATTTAATTCAGGGTTCTGTTGTGACCTCTGGATTTTCCAAAGTGTATCTGTAAGGAGGATGGATTCTTCTTTCACCCTTTGTTGATTTTGGTGAGTGAGATGGCTCTTCACTCTGTTGCAGCCACCTTTGAGGACAGAAGTGGGTTTCTTGAGCAATGTCCTCAGATTACTGCAGAATAACCTTTAACCAAAGAAATGCTGCTGTTTTCAACTGGGATTGGAACTAAACTGAGGACAAATAATGATGTTGCTGTTTACACATTGGCAAAGACTCGGACAGCTTGTACACAAACTCTTCCTCCACGTTTCCTTGAAGGCCTGGTGGTTCAGGTTGGCATTTCTTTGGCTGAATTGGCCAATAGAAAGTGAATTTGTGAGAAGTTCTGATTTTGCATAACCATCTTGGAAAAATGAGGATAGCCTCATGCTTGTACTTAAAATGTCACAGGCCACATCATAATTTGACATAGTGTTAGACAGAGGACATGATTGGGTGGAGAGAAAGAGGGGAACAACCTCAAGGCTTTCTCCCTTTTATTCATAGCAGCCTGCTATTTTTTCAGAATGCACTTACTGGATAATTTCAATGGCTATTGGCTGTCAGCCATACATCCCCCCTCCTTTTTTTTTTTTTTTAATGTCCAGAAAATATGCAAAGGGAAACTTGGACAACTGCTGGACTTCCTCTTGGACATTTTTTTTAAATGGTTTTGTTGAATCTCAGCTGTTTCACAGGCACTGGTTAAATACTTCATATTTGGATCCATTCCTAAGGCTTCCAGGCAGCCTATATTCTGCCTGGCAAGAACATTCATGGAATCATAGGATAGAAATGCCAAAAGCAGAATTATCTTAATGGTGATATTTGAAAATTTTCCAGAATGCAAGCATTTATCAAGAATTCAAGGGTCTGTCTCTCCCTAACCCCGAGAAAAATCAATGCTCACAAATTAATGAACAGGGTCCCAAGCCTGAGGCCAATTCAATTGAATAATAATTTTTATTAAAGTTTAATAAAAACTTTAATAACTTTTTATATTTTTCTTAGTTTGTATTAGTTTTTATCTCTGCAAACTAAGAAAAATATAGAAAGAAAAAAGAAAGAAGAAAAAGTGCAAATGGAAAAGAAAAAAAAGGGGGGGAGGAAAAAGAAAAAAATATATATAAAGAAAGAAGAAAAAAGAATATATAAAGAAATGACTTCCCTCTTCATCAGGACAAATACAAACGATTTCAGTAACTTTTCACCTTCTCTAACATTTCAACCAAAGATCTCTTCATCCCATATCTCATCTTTTATCTATTAGTACCCTCTTCATCAGGACAAATACAAACGATTTCAGTAACTTTTCACCTTCTCTAACATTTCAACCAAAGATCTCTTCATCCCATATCTCATCTTTTATCTATTAGTAAATAATAAAACCTCTTCATTCAATCTTAATCACCAAAAGTCCATTAAGAGTTACCAGAAATAACAATATATATAATATTAAATAAGTAAATTAATTCCCTTTACTTTACACAGTAACTTATCATTTTCTCTAAAAATACAACAAAAAATCTCTTCTTCCCATATTTTATCTTATATCTATAAGCAAACCTATAAAACCTTGTTGTTTAAATTTAATTTAAAAATTCCATTAAGAGTTAACAGAAAATCTTAATCTTTAAACCCTTCAAATAATATCCCACAAATTAATTTCTTATCATTTTCTCTTCGTGTCCTCTCAGAAATTCCTTCACAAATTTAACTCTTTCAATTTTAACATCATAACCCATCACTTTCTCCAATCATACAACAAAAAAATATTTTCTCCTCACATCTTATCTAATAGCAAATCTTTAAGGTCTCGTCATTCAGTCCTGCTCAAGAAAAATCCATAAAAAACTAGTAGAAGAAAAAACATTTTAACTTTGATTGAACAAACTGACTTTATAATCCTTCTTTTTGGTTTTAAAAACCTTGATGTTTATTCCTTTTAAGTAATGTCCCAAAAGCTGATTTCTTTTCATCCTCTCTTATCTTTTCTCAGAAACTCCTTCATAAGTCTAACACATTTTGGTCTCTTT